GTAACATAATTCTAAATGTGTTCACCAGCAAATGAACATACCTTATCTCTTAATCGTCCAGTCTTCAATTTCAATTAGCATAGCCAAAGTTGTGGGAGTTATTCTGGGCAAATGGCTATCCAATCTCTTCTTAAAACCCTCCAGGGATGGAGCACCCACAACTACTGGAGGCAAGTCATTCCACTAGTTAATTTGTATCACTGTCAGGAATTTTCTCCTTAGTTCTATTTTGGATTTCTCATTGATAAGTTTCTATTTGTTACTTCCTGTCCTGCCTTCAGGTTGATCCCGTCTTCCTTGTAATAGTCTCTCAAATACTGGAAGATTGCTATCATGTCACCCCTAGTCCTTCTCTCTGGATATAATCCAATGTTACAGTCAAATTCATTGATATACATGGACACACATACATGAACACATACACAGAGATAAAGATCAAAATTAATTCTTTGTTATAATGAAGGTGCTGAAAGATTACCTAAAAATAAAAAAGGCAAAATAGTGCCTGCAGCAGAAGTTTGCATTGCTTATTGAAATAAACATAAAAATATCTCAGCTGCAGAAACCTTAATTGCTTTCTGTTCCTGAGAAACCAATTAATAAACCCACAAGGGATTGAACTAGAGTAAAACTGAATTTTAAATTTTAGAAATTATACAGCAAATCCACAACTAGCTTTGGATAGAGCTTGCCATAACTTTACTTTTTATTGTATATATGTCCCCTGAAAATGCACCTAAGCTATTTCCTTTTTTTCCCCTTAAAGGAAGTCAAATCATATTCACATAATATGTACAAGATGTATCTTATAGGTTAGCAGCGTCATTGCAGAAATTATTCAAAGACCTTTAACAAACAAAGAAATAAATAATTTTCTTTTAAACAGAAATGCAGTATTAGCTAGGACAGCAAGTCAGTATGCTTTCATTTTTCCATCAAATATAGCAGCTTTATTTTTCATTAAAAGTATGGAAAATACAAAATGGAAATGAATGAGAAGGAGATCTTCTTTATATGGAATGTCACAGGAATTTCCAAGAAGCTATGGGAATGTTGATAAAAATAACAAAAAATCTTTAGAGTTCAATAAGTTTGGAAATCCTTATTCTGCTGCATAATTTGTCTTTGATTATCTACCAGCTTCTCTATATAGGTTAAATATAAACATTACATTTTGTTATTAAAATAAACTAATGTATATTTCTTCATTCATTATTACTTATCTACATAAACACCAAACAAGCCAGGAAAATAACTACAAACTCAGGGCCATGTAATGAGCATATTTATGAACATCAGATAGATGCTATTTTGACCTAAAATATATAGAATCTTCAAAGATAATTGTACATTAAAATGCAAATGCAGAACTATTGTGTGGTGTTGGCCCTCGACTCTGCAAAGAAAGAGACCATACGGGAATTAAAGTTTGTTTGTTTGTTTGTTTGTTTGTTTGTTTATATATATATATATATATATATATATGTATGTATGTATGTATGTATGTATGTATGTATGTATGTATGTATATATATACCACCTTTCTCCTGTAGGACTCAAGGCGGTGTACAGTCAAGAAAAATATAGATACACAAACATCATAAAATTGCTAATTAAAATTATTATTATAACATAGTTTGGCCCAATTAAATAGAACCTAAAATTAGATAACATTTTAAAAACATTCACATGTTCATATGTTTAGCCCTGCCTGTTGGAACATCAGTGTTTTGAGGGCACGGCGGAAAGCACAGAGATCAGGGATATTTCGTATCTCAGGGGGCAGTTCATTCCAAAGGGTTGGAGCCCTCACAGAGAAGGCCCTCCCCCTGGGAGTCACCAGTCGGCATAATTTGACTGACGGTACCCTGAGTAGTCCCTCCCTGTGAGAACAAACTGGTCAGTGGGAGGCTATTGGTGGCAAAAGACGGTCTCGTAGGTACCCAGGTCCTAAGCCATGGAGCGCTTTAAAGGTGATAACTAACACCTTTAAACTAAGACCACCGGGAGCCAGTGCAGCTCGGGTAGGAGAGGTGTTACATGGGCGCAACGAGCTGCGCTCATAATCACCCGCGCGGCTACATTCTGGACCAGTTGGAGCCTCCGGGTGCTTTTCAAGGGGAGCCCCATGTAGAGAGCATTACAGTAGTCCATACGGGAGGTGACTAGGGCATGAGTGACCGTGCGCAAGGTGTCCTGATCCAGAAAGGGACACAACTGGTGGATCAGGCGAACCTGATAAAAGGCACCCCTGGCCACGGCCGTCAAATGTTCTTCTAAAGATAGCCGTGAATCCAGAGGACACCCAAGTTGTGGGCCCTCTCTGTGGGGAGCAAGATCTCATCCCCAGTTGTCAGTTATGGTACCAGCTGACTATACCGGGACGCCGGAAGCCACAGCCACTTGGTCTTGGAGGGGTTGAGTCTGAGCTTGTTTCAAGTTAAGTTTAATTTTAATTTAATTTTTTTTTAAAGTGCCGGTTTTATTTTTACCTCAACAATATTTTCGAATACTTCTTGAGAATTTAATTAGATTTGTTGTCTGGGCATATCTAACAAGTTTATTTTTCCAGGGTTTTTCTAAGCTATAGTTTCTTCTGTTTCTTTTCATGCTATAGTACAGGGTTCCCCACTACTGGGCTGTGGCTTATTCGCAATTGGGGTGCACAAGTGGTGGGTTGGCATGCACGTATGCGCAGCTCGACTTGCATAAGCATTAAGCCAACACACATGCACATGTGTGTGCAGCTCAACTTGTACAAGTCAAGCTAGGTGCACATGTGCATGCATGCCAGCCCACCAGTTATACAAATTGAGCTGTGCACATGCACATGCATGCCAGCTCACTACTCATGTGACCCAGTTCTCCCCCCCCTCCTGCTAGGCCACCAAGCCACAAAGGTTGGGGACTACTGCTGTAGTACAAATGCAGTCAAGCTTCAGGCATGTACCATCTACTGCTTCTTTCATTAGAACCCTTTACATCTACTCACTAACATCAAGTGGCTAAAAGAAACCAACTCAAGAAGTAAAGAAAGAGACAGCAGAAACAGAGAATTGTTTTGATGTTTTGATCATTTTTGTATATGTACAGGTGACCCTCATGCTACAGATTATCCAACTGTGCTGTTACTTTTTCTTATATTCAAATGACTTTTACCTCAAATTCTTTTTAACTCATATATGGAGGAAGTTGAACATTTGGTAAATTATTATAAAACAAAATTGTCACCCATCCATGTTGGACATAATCCAAGCATGGCAAAGATTCACTGTCAGTATTAGGCAACTTTTTTGTTTTAATAAATACATTTTATCTGTGTAATAAATATATTTTTCAGGAAAAACAGACCCTTTTGCCTAGAAAGATTTTGCTTTTCTCAGCCCAGTCTCAATTTCATTTTTTCTTTTCTCATTCTGTTAAGAGATTTACAAATGTTGGTAAATTATTATCAAACAATATGAAAGGAAAGGAATCCATTAATTAAAAAAAAACCTTTCATTTTTCAGCACTTTGATTCTAGAGTATCAACTGCTTTCAAGTTGTTGACTTTTTTCTATATTGTTATCTCAAAATATTGTACATAGCAATAGCACTTAGACTTATATTCCACTTTATAGTGCTTTACAGCCCTCTCTAAGCGGTTTACAGTCAGCATATTGCCCCAACAATCTGGGTCCTCATTTTAAATGCTACTAATAATCATTTATAAGTCATTTTTAATTTGGCAGCCCAATTTAGCAGAGCTTCTTGGCAATCATGATATCAAGTTGTCACTATTAACCACTGTGGTACCATATTGGTTTAAGCAGTATATCATTAAAACAAAGAAATAAGTAATTTATCATACTTCTCCCTCATGCTCAACTAAGAAAAAGGCAATTGCTACTAGATATCATCAGCATATAACTTTTTTGAATTGGTTTTATATTTATCTTTTTATCAGTTGTAAGCTGCCCAAGGTTGCCTTATCAGTGAGATGGGCAGCATATACATTTAATAAATAAATAATGCTATGGGATTCTGTATAGTTATTATTCTTTCACAAAATTATTCCTATTTATCTTCTGTGTTTGTCAGTAGAAAAGCTGTTAACATTTCCTACCCAAAAAAGCTGATGCTATAAAACTGCCTGAAAATATTTCTCTATTCAAGATAGTAGAGAATTCAGGCCACTAGTTTAACAATGCAATGAGAAAGACATAAACAGTATTTGGAAAACCTTCACAAAATCCTGACAGATAATAAGCAAGGGTTTTTCTCCCAGGAGTAAAGTCAATTCAATGTACAGCAGTATTTTATAAAAGAAATATTCAGTACATTTGCTTTGACATTGACAGCTGCTATATTTTGCATTTTATGAAGAAAAGTAATCTTAAAGTTCCATGTAATTTCATATAATAAAAAGAACTCAGGCAATTGCAGATGGGTTTTTACCATGCCATATTTACATTATGTTTTTATTTTAAAAAATGCAAATAGAATATTCACACAGAAGTGATGCATAACTGATGTAAAGAAGTAAAGTTATGTGTAAATTAATAACAAAGTGCTGTTTCTGTTTGGTATGGGACACATTAAAAGTTCATATTAGAATTGTTTTGACATTTGAATTTTAAGAAAGAAGTTCATACTTTCCTGTAGCCCCAGGTGATTAGTAGCCATTTTTCCCAAGCGACTGAAACATTATATATTATTATAAGGTTGGTAAATCAGAACTGATGCCTGGAGGCAAAGTACAGTAATGTGGTAGCATGTTGCATAAAGTGCCAGTCACAGCACAGTAGAAGAAAATCACCTGATTTTATTTCTGTTATGTTTTATTCTGGGAGCTTAGGAGGAAAGAGCTGCATAAACAATGAACACTTATTCCTAAATAGGGGTCATCACAGAAACTTCTGGAAAGCAAATGGTGAACTGAAGAGGTTCACTAGAAGAAAAGCTAAGGATTGCAGCTCTTTGTAATTCCTCTTAAGACAAAAAGAGGATCTGAATTACTCCTTGGGAAGTGACAGCAATCTCTGGCAGGTTTAGAAATCTGAGAGATGAGAGAACCATGAACCCATGGTTGGCATCTTTAAGGACACAAGGTATGGATACTTCTTTGGTTCAACATATATTACAGCACCAGATGATTTGCTTCAGTCCTTGGCAAAACAAGTTTTAAATACAAATTTAAGGGCATGGGGGAGATTAAGAGAAAAGGGGCAATTAGAACTTTGATTATACAAATGGACTAAGGGTCTAGATGAATTTGAAATAATATTTTGAAATTGATTATAAACTTCCTGTGATTCTCGAAAAGAATACGATAGGATGAGACTTTGAAGGTTGGACACTAGAGGGAACCAAAAGAAAACAAAGACTGCACCTAAAGGAGAAGAATGCTTAAATTTCACTTAATAATGCAGAATGAAGCAAAATATTTTAATATTGGACACATTGAAGGATATTATAAAAGAAAAATGTTTTACCTGAAAATACTGAGACTTATTTGAAAGTAGACTTAAAAAGGAGAAGTTACAAGAATGATATGGGTTGATATGGAAATGATACACTGGATGCTGCCTGATGTCTTCATAATTGAAAAAAACAACAACATTAAAATAAACCAAGAAAATGACCTGGATAATTTTCCTATATTGGATTTACAAAAGAGTCTTTTTAAAGCTTTGAATAATTTTTGAGGAGGGACAAAGAAAAAATTATAAGAAATTAAGTTGTAGAACATTATTTGAAGAGATTAAAAATAAAAATAATTAAAAGGGAGGAATTTAAAACTGGTTTATTTGATCAAGGTTAAAATAGATACATTTTACCTCTGATGACCATAAATAGACTCTTGCTGATCAGGACCAAACAATAAAGTTGTAAGGATTTATTTATAAGATGAGTTTTGGGAAGAAGAGATATGTTGTATTTAACAGAAGGTGATGTTACTAAAATTGTTTATACTTGTTGAGATTTTTTATATCTTTTATATCTTTTTTCTTTTTCTTTACTGTATTCTTTTTTTTCTCTTTATCTTTTCTGCACTTTCTATTTTTCTTTCTTTCTTTAGTTTGTATTAGTGTTTTATCTCTTTTAATTGTAACTTTTAATAAAGTTATCAAAAGAAACCCCTAAATACATCTCATCATCGATAAACCAGTTGTGCTGGTCTTTACTTGAATGTTTTATCATTATTGCATGATATCAAATCCTTATCTTACATCTTTAACACAACTGGTATAAACATAAATATGCTAATCTATAAAATACAGATTTAATCTAAATGCTTTTATTTTATTTATTTTAAGAGATTCTGTCATGAGAGATCCTTTGTGTATTTGGCACCAAATTGAAGCTAATGTAGTATTCTTTCTCTTTCTCTGCTATAAAACTAAATAGCAGACACAGCAATCAACCTGAAATATCTAGAGTACAGCCATTAAAACATAATAAATCTTTATGGCTGCTTTGGAATGATGCAAATTCACATCTTTTAAATTCAGCTGAAGAACTAACAGTAGAAAGATCAACCTGCTAAATTAAGGTCACATGATGAATTTTCAAGAAATTATGATATACAATCAACCATATTTCAGATATTAAGATACCGGTCACAGAATCAGGTAAGGGAAACATTCTATTATTATTATTTAATATATATTGTATACCATTTTATATGTTTAGTATCTACTGAATCATAAATCAGTTAAACTATTTTGGATCAGTTGTTGTGTTTGGAATTTATTTTCTGCCCAGTTCCCGAAGATCAGGATCACTGATCTAGGCACAATGAGGAAATTACTGGAAGACAATCTGGTGATGAAGACATCACCAGATTGTCTTCCAGTAATTTCCTCATTGTGCCTAGATCAGTGATCACTGCCTTTTTATCCCCACTTTATGTTAATTAACTGGACTCATTCAAATCATAAAAGACTCTTACATGAGGGGCCCTTGGCGCTCTCTGAGCTTGCTTATTTTCTTGCAGAGGTTTCATTAACCTAACTAGGTAACATTATCAGTGCTAGTAAGGAGTACTGCTTGCTGTCAATTAATATTCTGGTGTCTTGCCTGTCTGTGTGGGTGGGAGCAGCCTTAGAGATTCTTTGGTTAGGCTGTTTATTGATGGCTCTTTGGTGGTTTCTTGATTGGGATATTGTTTATTTGACTGTTGGTCTGAAGTTAACCTTGGAGTTAATCTATGCTGATCTGAGTGCTTATTAGTGGTGGGGAGGTGCTGGAGTCTTTTTCTCCTTTGAGCTGGTTGATTATCTCTTTTGCAGAATTGTCACATATGTAGGACAAACAGGCAGAAGACTGGCAGAACACATCCATGAACACCAACTGGCAGTCAGAAGACATCACAAAAATTATTTAATTTCACAACATATAGGTAGATTTAATCATAGTTTCAATTGGGAAAATGTGACAATCCTAGACCAGGCAAAGTCCAAAAATGTCAGGGAATTTCTAGAAGTCTGGCACGCTGACAAATCAGCCATCAATAGAAACATAGACATCTATAGACTATGCAGAGATTTGCATTTCAACCCTGACCTACAAATATTCTCCTTTATTGGAGACTTTTACATAATACTGTAATTGGTCTAAAACAGATACATAAAAATATAAATCCCAAATCTTCAGTCATGACTGATATCAAATCACATACAGACATTCACCTGCAGGAAGGATCAACAGTACTTGAAGTCCTGAAGGCTGGTTTCTGAATATTTCAGATATCTGAAAACTCAACAGTATGGATGTAATTTCTCAGGCAAATGCTGTTTCAGGGAAGAAGTGGCAAAAGTGAAGATCCTGCTCTATGATTTCTGAAGATAATACTTTATTAATGGTAAGACATGCAGCAAAATCATTATTCCTGATCTTAAGGGATGGACAGAAACCACCGGGGTCCTGAGTTACAAAATACTTTAAAAATGACAATCAGCACCCTTAATTGCATGCAGAAGCAAGCTGGTAACTAGCACATTTCTTGAAGCTGTGGTGTTACATAAATAAACCAATAACTGCCCAAGCCACTGTATTTTGGACTGTCTGAAGCTTTCAAGTGGTCTTCAAGCCTCTTGTGGTACAGCACATTCTTCCTTACCCCAGTTATCCTTCATCACCACTTGGGCAAGTTAGGAATAAGGACCTAAAACAATCCTACTGATTCAAGCCTCATTTTAGCATTTTATTTCACATAATAAAACATTTTATTTCACAGAAGCAGATGCCTCTGGAATGCTTACAAGCCGGAGACATAAACTTACCCTCTCCAGCCCTGCCAGCTGTACTTGGAGGCATGGTACTCCCAACCAGAGGTAGTTTTCAAGACCAATAGTAGTGAGGGACCTATCTTCCATGAATTCACCCAATCTCATTTTAGGGCTATCAAAGTTTTGTATCATGTCTTGCAGTTATGGCTTCCAAAAACATATATTAACTGCTGTGTAAAGAAGTATTTTTTAATTTGTTGTACATTTCCTTCCAGGCAGCTTCACTAAATGATCCAGGGTCTTACTGTTTGGACAGAGGAAGAAAACCTGTTTACTGTGCACTTTCTCAATGCCATGCAAAGGTTTATACACCATGTTGAAGTGATCCCTCTGTCGCTTTCTTCCAAGGTAAACAGTCCCAAATATTATAGCCTTTATTCAAAGGGGAGAATTTCAGCCATTTAATCATTTTGGTTGCCTTCTTCTGCCCCCTTTCTAGCTCTATTATGCATTTTTTTCCAAATATCACAACTAGAAGTATACACAGTATGCCAGTTATGAACATAGTATAGATTTGTATAAACGCAGTACAGTGTCATCACTTTTATTTTTGATCCTTATTCTAATTATTTGTAGCATGTAATTTACTTTGTTCATAGCTGATGCACACTTATGACATTTTCACCAAGCTAACCATTAGGACCCCCCAAATTATTTCTTCCTGGTTTATTGCAGACAGCTGAGATCCTATTAGTATACACATTAAGTAATGGCTTTTTGCCCCAGTGTGCATTACCTTACGCTTACTAAACTGAATTTCATTTTCATGTGATTGACCATTCAGCTAATTTAAAGAGACCCTTCTAGCGCTTATTTTACCCTGAACAGAAACTGTTTAATTATTTTGTAAACTGGCAGAATTCTGATCAGTGACCCTAATAAAGAACTGCTGCTTACAGATCTATTCAGAATCATTTTTGGGTTTCACCAGCCTGAATATTTTAGGATCTTCATAAATAAAAGAATATAATTATGCCAAAATAAAGCACTAGGCTACAGCCTTTCAGCATTTTCACTTTCCAAAATTTCTGGATCTTTGCCTTGCCTTACTATTATTTAAAAATCAAAAGAAAGTAATGGAATAAAGACAGGTGGAACAGGAACATTGCTGGGTGCCAAGCAATTTCCATCGCTATGGGATGCAGTTGTAATGTCACATGATCAATTTGCTTAGTAACAACAATCCCATTAGTCCCATTCACTATTATAACTGCAGGACTGTGCATGTTATTAAGGGGGAAGAGGTCAGATTTCCAGGCAAGCAGGCCAGTGGGTAAGTATGTGGGTGCCACATTGGGTAGAGGATGCTGTAGGAAGGAACTATGGAATTCAAGCAGGCAAAAATGTGGTAGGAGCAGAAGTGACTTGTGATTTCCTGCTGGCATCCCCATTGCTTTTCTTTTTGGAAAGCTGGCAGGGAAAACTGAAAATGCAAATACATGACCTTAGCTCTCCATGACAACATAATCACAAGCAGGGCACTCAAGCATCCAGATCACAATCATGTGACTATAGGAACACTGCAATGGCCAAAACTCCGAGCAGCAGTTCTAAACATTTCTTGTTCAGTGCCATCATAATTTTGAATGGTTACTGAACAAGTGATTTGAACAGTCTCCTTCCATTTCCTAGGAATAAATCTGGAATCTGCAAGCTCAATAAGTAATCTACCTTTAAGGTTTTTTAAAAAAATCTATTATAAAAAAAAAACAAAAGTAACATTAGAGTAAATAATCTTCCATTCATTCTAGTTTAGGAGTTTTTACCTAGGGGGAAAAAAAACTTCCAACTCTGACTCCCTTTAGTATAAACAATGTAATTATTTCTTTAATCCTGAATCATTTGTCAAAAATATCAAAATATGTAAAATATTAGCATCATATCAGTTTGTGTAATTTTAGTACTCCAGTATTCCTATGATTGTGCTAGCAAGCTAGTCATATTTTACATAGCAATATTAGAGTGCTGGCTTGATGGTTGCTAGGTAGCTAGCTGTACAGCTAAAGGACCCTGAAGGAAAGACAAGCTCTGTAAATTAGTGGCATCCAATCAACAGTCAATCAACATAAGGTCCATTACTTCTCATTACATTATTTTACCATTACTTACTTTCCATTAGTTCAGACAGGAAAGCTAAGAAGAGAATTGGCTAAAAGGGACCAATTGAATTAACATCTTTTAGAGCCAATTCTACTCTCATTTTGTATATAATTATACAATCAAAATTGGAAATATGAACACAATCTGCAATTCATACTGGCAAGATATTTGTAACTTTATGCTGGCTGGGTAGGAATTACTCTCTACAAAAGTGGGGGAAGAGAGGAGATTTGGGCTTTGTGTGAAGCTGCTGAAATGTTCACTACATGGAATATTATTATTACAGAACCTGCAGGGATATGTAAGCAGGAACATTTGCACTTCCAGTTTGATTTATTATGAGAGACATGTTCAATACTGAGAACCGTATCATCAGGGAATTGTAAAAGCCTCCTAAGGGATGGCATAACAGTGCCCCCTAAAGCATCTGATAAATTGATCCTGAAGAGGTGGAATTTCTCAGAAGAAGTTCTCCAATGTGATACAAAGGGGAAGTTTTCCAAAAACCACTGTACTTTTATAATTCTAACAAAGATTGTTAGGAAGATGGTTTTGGCGCCTAGATAATTTGTGATTTGCTGACTAGACGCAGGACATCAGAGATAAAACCCTGTCCTTTATTGAATAGAATAACTATCAGTTCCCCTCCAAAAAAGGGCCCACTTTCATGTATTCCTCATACAGTATTCTATAACAGGAATGGCGAACCTATGGCATGCGTGCCACCTGCCAGCTGGTCTTCGGGTCTTTGCTGTGCACGCACGGGGCCTGGGCGCATGTAGGGGGCGTGCACATGTGCCGGAAGGCAGGGCACATGCGGGTGTGGGGCACATGTGTGGGGGCCATGTGTGCATGCATGGGGGTGGGGTGCATGTGGGGGGGTCACACATGCATGCACAGGGGTGGGGTACATGCGAGGGGGGCACACACACATTACATTTTGTGGATTCATGTGCACTCATGCTCTTTGGGCACTCGGTCTGGAAAAGGTTAGCCATCACTGCTCTATAATATTGAGCGTCATTGCTCAAGAAAAAAAAAAGGGGGCTATGAACATGAAAGCACAATGCACAAAGGATCGCTTTCTAACCATCTTCTCTACAAAGAACATGTGATAAAACCCAACACTTTATATAACAAAGTTATAATTTGATTAGGTAGGCTTACTGTGCTGACTTTATTTGGAATTCTCTATCTATGATTACTGTTTTCCCTTGTTTTCCCTATAGATCCTCTCTCCCAATAAACTTTTTATAGGGGAAGATCTGTCATCATTGGTTTTATAAGAAAGTTTCTCATTAAAATCTTTCCCACAGGCAAGACTGCATGATTGCATAGCTATCTTTTCTGTCTGAATGAGATTTGTTGAGTCTATATTTCTGAAGGCTGGCAGGAAGTACAAACACATTTTCATTTTTCTTGTCCTAAAGCTGGATTGAAGAAACATGTCCTGGTAGGGCAGCTAAGAATGTCCTGCCTGAACATACTAGGGGGTGTCAGAAGATACAGCCTGATTGGTGTCAGCCTATCATAACTGATTTTCCTGTCAATGAGTTTCAAATTATCCCCTATTCTTGTTTGCAACAGGAGATAAAAGCTGTTTTGTTTATTGCATTCATTCACCTCAGAAATATTTTGGGATGTTATTTTATAAATATCAAGGTGAGAGACTAGACTGCAAAGCTGACAAATACCCTAGAAGGCAATTGCAAAGAATTTCCAACTTGGCAAGAACAAGGCAAAGATATGTCTATGCAGTTATAAAGAGTCAAACTTGCTCAAGGAAGACTTTGCCCTTCCTATTTTACAAATGACTTAGGAGTGTGTGTACACTGCAAGTTTATAATGTATTTTCAACATTCCAAATTTCCACAGCATCACAAATCCATGTAGCAAATTGTTTAAAATTATTCTTAACACAGTTCTGAGAATTATTTGCATGAAAATGCATGGTACTTAGTCAAATATATTCATCACACTGCATAAGGGGATAGAAGTTACTCTTTCTTTTTTCCCTTCAAGAGGGAAAGCTGCATGTAGTTCTTATTCACTCACAGAAAAAGAAAAACAAAACAAAACAAGAAAGCATAAGCATTTATATGTCATTTGCTTCTTGCTTATCAAATTATTGTGAGTCAAATGACAACCCCTCCTCCCAAAAAAAGAGAAAAAAGGAATCAGCACTACTTTGGTCACATTGGGAATAGAATATCTTTAATTACAACTAGATTAAAATAAATAGCTACATCATGATTTATTTTAGTAAAGCAATCCTAAATGATCCTTACTAGACAGAACAAGAAGCTTGTTTGTTTCTTCTTTCTCTTTTCTCCCTGCCTGTTACATATAAATTGTTCTTGTTAAAATAACTGCCTCTTATTAATTTAATAGGAGGTAAAACAAGTATCCAAATCCCAGGACTAATATATTTTTCTGCAAGGGAGCAAAAGGAACTTCAGGGCATCTAAATTCAAAGGTCCTCATCCCTACTCCCTATCTGCTCTGATGAACTTGTAGCATATACCTCAAGTTTTGTTTTGTTAAAAGCCATACAAACATACTTGTGTGTTCCTGATTTCTATTTACATCTTCACTCAAAGAGATCTGAATGACTGAGTAATATTAGTAATCTTAAAACAACTGCACTATAAATAACTGGCATCACTTAAAAGAAGAAAGAAATCAAATGCAGGTTTCTATGCAATTTAGTTTTATGCACACAGTGCAGAAATGAAACAATATAAATGACAGGCAATTTATCACTCTATATCAATATGTGTTGTGAAGGTGACAGTTTTATTTTTACAGGAATGGGAACACATCAGACTTTAAGTATATGTTTATGTCTTTATTTATTGATAATCTTAGAAATCAAGAGTAATTCTATTATTTGTTCCCATTGTATTCTTAGTATAATTAATTTTGTACGGATCCTCATTTTTATTATAGTGTAAACTCAGACTAATATGAAAACATGAAAGTGAGTTTGATATGATGGTTAAAGGTATCAGACGAGAAATCATGAAATGGTGTGTTCTAGTCCTGCCTTAGGCACAAAGCTTGGGCCATCCATTTTATCTTAGTTATGGAAGAGGACAATGGTAAACCACTTCAAAAACATTTCCCAAAAATTTCATGAACTTGTCTAAGCAGCTGTCAGGACTCAAGGCTGACTTGAAAGAACGACACACTCGCATATAAGCCATGGTGCTTTATAAAAAAA